TCTGCTTACCGTTTTGTATGCAGTCCACGCCAGTGTTCTTGGGTTCGGTAGTTAGGATAGTCTTCGGTTAACTAGCAAAACTAGTATATTTCCCAAAAATGCGAACTTCACTGTTTGCACTATCCCGCACCGCTGCTACCAATTGTAAGATTCGTGATCTCAGTCAATTTTAAAAAGAACAATTTTATTTACTTTCTTGGTTACAACTTTCACTTATACTTATGATTCACAAAGTAATACTTATAAACAGCTAGTCGGCACGACTGAGACTTATGATTACTTGTGAACTCGCACGATTCGGTAGAACTGACTGACTGACTTGCTGCGACTACGACTGACTCGTACTGAATCGAAGGCTCCTTTTATAGAGCCTGGTTTTGGTCATTAGCTGTCATTAAAGAAATCATTTATAGAGATTTCCTTAATGGTAAAATATATCGAAAAGTCGATTATCCCTTACGAAAAAGAACTACTAGCAGTAATATATTGCGGCAGTGGTACGAAAAAATTACTGGCATTCTGTGTAATTGCCAGTAATATTCTCAGTGATTCCTATAATATCTAATAATATTCTTATGTGATTGTCAGTAATATTTATATTACTGACTTTATTTACATGTAATCGGCAGTAGTCCTTTTTCGTAAGGGATGCGTCATGGTTTTTATCATTAATCGTAATTAAGGAAAAATTCCAAAGATTTCCTTAATGTAAAATAAATCGATGCGTAATGGTTTTTATCATTAACCGTCATTAACCCCTTAACCTACAATGACGGGCAGAGCCCGCGTACGATGGTCGGGCCAAACGTAAATATTACGGGCATAGCCCGCGTACGGTGATCGGGCCAGAAGTGAATATTACGTGGAATATTTGATATGCAATTACCGCGATCGTCCTACCACGGGCGATGCCCGTCATGTTTACGATTGGCCCGATCAGCGTGTTACACAAGTAACACGCCCAACATCTTCGAATCTAAATCGTAAGTTAAGGGGTTAAAGAAAAGTTCTAAAGATTTCCTTAGTGGTAAGGTATTTCGAACCTTTGCGTAACAGCTAGACTAAACTAGACAATGGTCACACCTGTAAGAAAATTGTAAGCGCCGCGTCTGCGCCGCCTGAATATTCCTGCTAGGCGTACCGCTATACCGATATGCATGTGTTACATTTTCTGTGTGTGCGTTTTTTTATTTGATTCTTTTGTTAAACAACGCTTTGTTTTATTTCACCGTTGCCGAGACAACCGAACAAAACTGTAAGACCGAGAGGTTTCAACACACGACGCAGTTCCGCGCCGGCTATCGTAGGGAAGAAAGCTGTAATCACTAAACGAAATAAATTAACTAATGAAAAGAGTCACGGAGTGAATTTTTTTTTTTACAATCTCAGAAGTGGGATGAACAACATCCTCTTAGGTGTTTTAGTGATTGTGTAGCGGCCGCGCGTAAAGTAGGGTCATATTTTATGAAAAAAAAGCGGATTTATGTTTATGAGACGGTATCAGTTATGATTCCGGTATTTACAAATTGGAAACGAAGAAAATAGTTGCGTTACGAGTCCAATCTTCACACTTTGTGCAATCCGAAGCGAGTGAAACAGTGGAAGCGAGACTTAAAAAACAATTTAAGATGAGCACGCTTACGGTAGCGGATCTTAAAGAGAAACTAAAGGAGAAGAATATGCCAACAACCGGGACGAAATCCGAGCTGGTCAAACGGCTGCTGGAAGCAGGAGTCCCGCTAGAAGAGTTGCGAGTGTCTGGTTGTGTTTCAAGTGAGGCACGGGAAACGCCGCCTTATGAAGAATTTCAGCAAGAAGTAAATGCGCAGTTGATGGTACCCGCCCGCGAAATCAAACTGTTGCGGAGAGAAAGAGACTTGGCTGTACGTGAAATAGTACTGTTGAGAAGAGAGTTAGAACTCTTGCGTGCGACACCCCGTACGGACGAAACCTTGTCTGCCCGAGCCAGCACGAAAAGGTGGCGAGATCTCAAGGACCTGGTTGGCGAATATGACGGAAACAATCATGATTTTGACCGATGGGAGAAGCAGGCAAGAAAATTACTCTCTGCGTACGATCTGAATGATCATGAAGCTAAAGCATTGATATGCAGCAGACTGATCGGCAAAGCCTTGAAGTGGTATCATTCGAGAGTCGATTGTGTGGAATTAAGTTGCGACCAACTCCTACGCGAACTTAAGAAAATGTATGGACAGCGACCAGATCAGTTTACTTTACGACATCAACTAGAAGCAAGAGTGTGGAAAACGGGCGAGACTTTCGCAGATTATTTACACGACAAGGTGACGCTTGCAAACCGAGTGCCAGTTGAATCTGAAACTGAAATTATCAGCTACATTGTCGAGGGTATCCCGAATCAAGAGTTGCGCACACAGGCTAAAGTGCAGTGCTATCAGTCAGTAGACGCAATGTTAACTGCGTTTGCGAACGTCCCGGCGCCTAAAGAACCTCAGCGTAAGCCGTTTTCTCGTGGAGACCAGACTTCGGGAAGCGGCAAGCAGGAATCGGAGCAGCGACAGTCTAAAGAAACAGACTCACGAAAATGCTACAATTGCAACGAACATGGACATTTTGCAGCAGAGTGCAAGAAGGAGAAGAGAGAGCGAGGATCTTGTTTCACGTGCGGAAAATTTGGACACCGAGCGAGTCAGTGCAGCATTTCAACGGAAGGTATCAACTGGATAACCCAAGGGCAACGAGAAGACGATGATTTTCAGCAAAAAGTAGACTTACAAATAAGTAATAGAGAATGTAGTTTTAAGATTACCTGTAACGCGTTGAGTGACACAGGAAATCCGATTTGTTTGATTAAAGAACGCTATGTTCCGCGAGAATATATAATTCACGGTGCTGAGCGCGATCGGTTTTGCGGTTTAAACGGCAGTGGATTAAATGTAGTGGGTCGAGTCGAGGCGATGTTAATGCATGAACGTGGTAAAACGGACATTATGTTACGAGTTGTCCCGGATAATACGATGCAAAGTCCGATGATTTTAGGACGCGATTTCTTGAAACTGTCTAATTTGTCATTAAGTACTAACGAAACTACCCTTACGAAAAAGAACTACTGGCAGTAATATATTGCGGCAGTGGTACGAAAGAATTACTGGCATTCTGTGTATTTGCCAGTAATATTCTCAGTGATTCCTGTAATATCTAATGATATTTTTATGTGATTGTCAGTAATATTTATATTACTGACTTTATTTATATGTAATCGGCAGTAGTTCTTTTTCGTAAGGGTACAGTTAATCGGGGCGATTAACGATCAGGATGGCCGAATTGTAAGAGAATTGTAAGCGCCGCGTCTGCGCCGCCTGAATATTCCTGCTAGGCGTACCGCTATACCGATATGCATGTGTTACATTTTCTGTGTGCGTTTTTTTATTTGATTCTTTTGTTAAACAACGCTTTGTTTTATTTCACCGTTGCCGAGACAACCGAACAAAACTGTAAGACCGAGAGGTTTCAACACGACGTAGTTCCGCGCCGGCTATCGTAGGGAAGAAAGCTGTAATCACTAAACGAAATAAATTAACTAACGAAAAGAGTCACGGAGTGAATTTTTCTTTCTTACACACCTCTTAACGTATAAATGAAAAATATATTCTGCACGTACAACCAGCGTATGTCAAAAAGTTCTACTTCCCCAAAGTCCTACTTCTTGTTCTAGATTAAAATTTTTTCTTATATATTAATTTATTCTTTTATCGATTACACTGTTAAAACTCATTATTATCAGCAAGTGCGCAATCAACTAATTACGTATCATTGGGAATGTCCTATATCTTCCGACACTCACTTATTTGCGCGCGAGACAATTAATAATTGTGAGAAATATACATATGTACATACGTTATTTTTAAACGTTACTACATGGCAAATAGTTTTTTTTTTTTTTTTTTTTGATAAGAAAATAGAAAAAAAGAGCAGTGATATTATCGACACGACGCAGCTTTCACCAAGCGATTCTTTCTACAGTTAGTTCGATTGGCGGTTGTTACGAAGCGCTACTTATCGCTAAAAAAGAAGCCACTTTTTGCACTTTTAAGGTGCGTTCGCTTTAAATGCTTATTAAAGAGCCGTCTACAATGGAGAGTTGTAGGCCGTAACAGTAAGAAATTGACAAATCACAATCGATTATTCTTCTGTACTTTGTCTGTGATTGGTCAATTTCTTACTATTACGGCCTACAACTCTCCATTGTAGACGGCTCTTAAGGCTGCTTTTCTTTTAGGAAACACAGTCGACATAAGTCGACACAAGAGTCATTCTGTCTTTGTTTCTCACTGAATACTGAACGAAGATAGAATGACTTTTGTGTCGACTTGTGTCGACTGTGTCTCCTAAAAGAAATGCAGCCTAAGGAAGCTTTTCAGCTACGTACACAGGCGACACTGTGCAATACAGTGTCCACTAATGTGAGTGAGACACACTGATATGCTCTTTCTCACACTAGTGGACACTGTAACACAATGTCCATTAGTGTGAGAAAGAGCATATCAGTGTGTTACACAGCGTCGCTTGTGTACGTAGCTGGAAAGCGCCCTAAGTAAAGTCGCGTGACTCTAGCCACGTATTGTTTTTACTTTTTTCCCTGTCAATCATGAATCATGCCTACGTTTGGATATAGCGCACCGACAAGTCCGTCGTGGACATGGCTACGTAGTTGCCAATGTGCACCACCTATGGACATAGCGCCAGCTTACAAGACGGAAAAGCTATTACAGTTTATCATGGCCTTGGCCGTTCTCAGTCTTCTCTGTATTGATAGCCAATGGCTGTGGAGTGAGGAGACTTTCTATACTGCATTCAATTTGAGAAGAGAAGTTTACTGCGCATAGAAGAAGAAAAGCGGGCAAAGTAGGGATAGCGTTGCGTGCGGGATTGGTGGAACACGCGCTGACACTCAATTGTTGTGGAGTAAGGAGACTTTTTAGGCTTTCTAGTAAGGGAGGTGCGCAAAACGGACGAGTTTTCCTTTATTCGGGTTCTCATCTCAAAGTAAACGCAGTATAGGAAATAGGAGAGGTGTGCAAAACGAAGGATTTTCGGTTTTCCAGTTCCTCTTCTCAAATTGAATACCTTCGAAGCACGTCTAATCTCTATGCAGTCACGCGATCAGTTGCTGATTTAATAACTCGATTTTTGTCGAGCGTTTCCAATCTACTCAATATCGCCTGCTTATAGGTATAAGAAGTTATTAAATCTGTCGTCACGCGTATGTACATGTGTGATTTCGTTGATCTTGCTGATTTACGAACTTGCCAGTATTTCATGAGTCTCGATAGATTATGTGGAAACACGCGCCGATATTGCCGGCGGTCGTCGACGAGGCGATTTTATGATCACTTCAATTATCACCTTCATGTACGTATGATTGCGAGAAGATCGGTGTTACTTCCCAATCAGAGATGTACAAATCAACGACGATTTTGTCTATATCGGTGAGAAATAAGAAAACAACGCATATAAGTTCAAAGTCGCAAATTCAATTTTTGAAATAAACAAAGCATTAATCTGAATTGTGCGCAATAATAACTGATTATACATCTCGTGTTTCTTTTTCTTGTTTTGCAGTAGCTATGGCTGGAATGCGGGAGGATAGTTTTCAGTTATTTAGCCACGTGGAGATAATTCAAGACTTTATTAATACATCAGATTCTGAAATAAATATCGAGTGTGTGCAATCGACAAGTATTAAGAGCATAAGACAATTAGTTTTAGCAGTAAACAATATATTTCATCTGGTAAGTATATTCAAAAGTTTGTCTTTTATAATTCTCTTATCAGTGTTTCAATTAAGTCTTTATTCACAGTGAGTGCTGAATTTGTCTCATTTTCAATAATATATATCTTCAAATAGTAATGAAGAAGAAAAAGAAGATTACAATTTAAATGTTGTAACTGGATTAACTACAAAAAGAGTCAGAATGCAATGCAATTTGCTAACACCTCTACCACTGTTTACAGATTCTGTAGATTTATTAGATGAACAATCTATTAGCGATATACAAATTGGTCAGTTCTTAGATATGGAGAGTAATAACTATATTTTAAATTTGAGTAAAGAGAATATACAATCAATAATAGGTGGTGCTATAAGCGATCAGCATAGAGTGATAGGATATAAGGAGGATGTAATAAAACAAGATGCCAATAAGGAGAATGGAGTAGATTGTACAAAACAAACGACAGTAAGACGGAGCTCCCGAGTGAATCAACAAAATGAATGCAAAAGCAAAGATCTCTTTCCAAAAAGAAAAAAAGCCACAAAGACTCGTAGCAAAATAAGATATAAAAAAAATACAAAATCGAAAGAAAAAGAAGCAACAGCAAAGAAAAGTAACACACATATGAAAAAAATACGGAGCAATATAAATGATAAGCATATCAATAATAAACAAACTGAAGAGAAAATTGTGACATCAGATCAATCTGTTGGTCAGTCCGTGAGATCTGCCACTGGTATACCTCGTGCCGCGTGGGGTGATATGACTGACGGTCCTCAAAGTGAAACGGATCAACTTGAGTATCCAGCCAACAGCGAGATTCTCTATGCTGTTGACTTGATGACCGTGCGATCCGCTTTGGAAAAAATGCAGGCGATGCCAGATTATCAACCACGCAAGACGCGTTCATCAGAGATATATGGTGGTTTTGAATACGGTAGTAAACATTCTCGGAAATAAAGGCTGCGGGATCATTTTGAGCTGATGAGCGATGCTTCGATGGATTTCTCATGCTACTTGCGCAAGCGACAGGAATAGTTTTTCTTGTGATTATTGTGATATTGCACTCGGCTTGTGTTTCTTAAACTACATGTATATTCATATTTTTGATAATATTAACGTAATCCTAATCTCTTGGTCTTTTAGACTATATATTATTAAATCAATGATTTTATAAGTTTGCAAAGAAAAGATTAGTAAATAAACAGTAAAAAATAAATAGAATGTTTATACGTGTAGAAAATAAACTTTTAAATATATATAATTATGTACACATAGTATTACGTACAGGTAATATAATTGTGTATGCAATTTGTTTTCTTGTTTCTTGACATATATGTGTCGTATCTATTTTTTTATAACAAAAATTAGATTTAATAAAACTATAAGTTTTATCAATTGCGTCAATCAGTTAGCGTTGTAACACGTGTCATATATTAAAGATTAAAAGATAACTGAAACAAGAAATTTCTGATATGTATATTTTTTGTAATTCGTAATCGTATATATTACATAATTTGTATATAATTACATAAGTATAAAGAATTATTTGTAAAAAAATATTATATGTATATAATCTCAATTATATACAATTATACTATATATATAATTAATTATATACAGTGTTGTTTACAATACAACAATAAATTGCAGAGTTGTAAAAGAAATTTTTGCATAATTGATGTCGCATTTGAAGATATCGATATCGCAAAATCGATTGCAAAATGTGAGCAGTGACATCTCTTAACATTCTTTAATTATGTTCTTTTACGTCTTGTATACATATGGTAAAATCACATATGTGCAATCATAAAAGATTTTTAGATAAAAAGTAAAAAGCATGATAAATATTAATTGAATCTATACAAAAATGTATTTACTTTTTTACTTAGTGTGTAGCAATGTAACAAATTTTAATTAGATAATTTGTGAGATGATAAATTTGTTATTTCCTCAATATATCTGTGCTACAAATAATTTCGAACATTTAATCTTGTAAACATTATTTTGAAGTGTGTAGAAATCAGTTTTCATTAACCCTAACTTAATCAATGACTGTTCCGTTGGTATTGACCAATCCCGTTGATCGGTCAGGCTGAGTTCGCCAATCGTGATTGACGCCGAATCGGCTGATCGAGAGACAAGCGGATGTGTTTTTTTAAATATCTCCATTGAACAACCGCGCGCGCGCGCGCGTGCGAGGAACGGATTCGAACTATCGTAAATTGCTTGTGTGCAAGACAAGAGAAGAGGAGACCACGCAACGCATCGATCGAATTTAAACACGCGGAAAAATAGCGCGCACCGGCACCGCTTCTACATGACGACGGCAGGTAGCGCCGCGGTTACCGTGCAGACAATCCGGATTGGCCGCTTCGAAAGTAGTGCCAGACATGTGTCTCGTTTCCCGCCTCCGGTGCGGCTTGTGTTGTTGAGTGTGGAGGGGCACGCCACACAGTCCGGCGAAGACCAGAGCGTAAAGACACGTAGAGAGACGCGGCGCGCAAAGAGTTCAGACCGGAGTCGAATCGCGGGTGACGAATTGTCGTTAAAAGTTATCCCCGTTGTGTGAGGAACACGCGACGCGCACGGTGAGAAACGCGGAGCGCGAAGCACGCAACGCAACGGCGGTGGCATCCCTGTCCGCGCACTGTCCGGTGAGCGACCGTGGTTCTCGGCCGTCCGTCATATTATATTCCCGGCCCAAGAGAGAGAAAGAGAAAGAGAGAGAGACAGAGAGAGCAAGGTTGCTGGCACGTAGTTGGTGGTGTTGCGACGCAGCGAGAGGCGGAGGGGAACGGCGGTGTGCCGCGTACGGAGCCAGGAGAGAACGAGCGTGCGGAACTGAACGGCCATGGAGAAACGGATAGAGCTCGAGAAGCGGGGAAGGAACCCCGGCGACGTAAGCCAACCCTCACGTTTATTTTATTGCGCTGCTCTTAATTATCGCTTTTAATATTTATCTGCGCTCCTGTTTGTTCCTTCTCTTTGCCACTGTCTCTCCTTTTTCTCTTTCTCTGTCTTTCTTTCTCTTTCTTCCTTTCTCTCTTTTGTGTTTTTCATTCGCACGCGGTTTCTTTATTACGTGCATGCAGACCAGGCATGCATTTTTAGTCGCGTGCCCCACCGTGTGTGTTAAACCGTGTCAGCGAAACGGCGATGTGTCGTTACCGTCTGGATTCTCGGCGGCCGTAAGATCGCTGTGTTACATAGCGCGTTCGTCGTGTCCCGCGAAAGAGAGGGGAAACACGACGAAATCGCCGCCGTGTTTCCTCGCGCTTTGGCGGCGACACAACACCACGCACTCGCTAATGCGGCACGCCGCTCTTGGACGCTGATTTCCGTCTCTTTCTCTCTCCCCTCTCCTCCCCTATCTATCTCTCTCTCGCTCGCTCGCTTTCTCTATCTCACCCTTTCCGTCTGTTTCTCTTTCGTGTGCAGGCCGTCGATGATGTTCCGTCTTGACGGCGATCGCGTGGCTCCCGCCTCGTTGTCGATCTCATCAGCGGCTGTCCTCGACAGGGAACAACATATGTATGCACGCAGATACTGACGATGCATGGCCGCGAACGAGCAACGGGCATGGCGCGCCGGAGAGCCTCTCTCACTCTCTCGCACGGGCGCCTTCATTCACTCGTTCGCTCTTCATATTTCTGCGACCGAGAAAACGTGGTTCACGCGTTCTCACCGCGTTTTCCACCCCGTATATAAAAATCTTCCGAAGAGCCTGTCTCTCTCACTCTCTTTTGATTCTTTCGTCTATTTATCTGTTTTAATTGTGCTATTCTTATTGCGCTTTATTTTTGCTCTCGCTGTTCCCACGACGAAGTGACGGCGTGTCGCGCGGCGCGACCAATCGCCAATTTGCGACGATTGGCGTCGGTTTTGTGAAGCCTACGTCGTCGTAGTGAGAAGAAAAAGATTTGGATGCGACGCATCACGAAAGCGAGATCGAGGACACAATCGCTCCGGCCGAAACGTTTCGCTGCCTCTATAGCCAGTGTTGAGGCTCTCTACACGCGCTCCGTCGTCGATGCTCCGCTTTGCTTCTCGATTTCGCGCGTTATATGTGGCGCGCGTTCACACACACACGCGCGCCTTGCTCGCTCGCTCGCTCGCTCGTTCGGTCGTTCGTTCGTTCTTTCGGTCATCTTATCGCGACGCGAGCGAAGATAGGTACGTACGTTTCGCGCGCGCGCGGCGACTTTAAAGAGTGACCGTTTTTCTAATATCATGGAAAGCGGGAAAGACACGTACGCGTCTTGTTCGGTGCACGAGCGAATTCACCGCGTACCTTGATTAATGATGGATCTCGCCGATGTCGCCGACTTTATTCGTAGATGATTGATCGAACACTCTCTGTCTCTGTCTCTCTCTCTCTCTCTCTGTCTCTGTCTCTCTCTCTCTCTCTCTCTCTCTCTCTCTCNTCTCTCTCTCTCTCTCTCTCTCTCTCTCTCTCACGCACGCACGCACACGCACGCACGCACGCATTCTCTGTCGCTTTCCGAATCACAGCGTTGTTCAAAAGTGAAAACATTTATTTCACCGCCGTTCTATTTCCGTATCCGATGTTACATCATTCCCTCGCACATACGCATGTATTTAATTTCCCTCTAACGTAATAATTAAACTATATGTATCAGTTATATGTGCAAAAAGCATCAAACGATGTAAGATATTCTCGCGCGCGTGTGTGTGCGTTTTGGCATCTCTGTTCTAAACGTAAACAACGCGTTAACGCGTATAAAAATAAAAATTATAGACTGGCAAAAGTAACAGCAATAAGTGCGAAAGTATGGATAAAATAATCAAAAACTATATCAATGATCTGAATGTTAAATTTGTTCGGATCAATTTGCGAGAAAAACACAAGCAGAAACATGTGAAATGCGATTGGTTCAAATAGTAAAAAACTGTTCTCTGAGTTTTCGCTGACTACTTTGCGGATGAAATAAATTATCTGTTTATTAGATTAGAACGATCTGCAAAAATATCGACTAAGACTGACGTAGCTGTTCTATGCGTTTGCTCAAGGAAATTGTGTGTGCTCCGTAGAACTTCACTTTAGTTTAATCGAATATGTAAAAATTACATTTTAAAAACATCAAAAATATATTTAATAACTATTATTGAATGTCCATCTTGTATCTTAATTGTCTATTCTAAAACGTGTGTAAAAACACACAAGCAGGCTGTCTTGAAAAATATTTACTTCTTATATCGGATAAATTCACTGAAAATTCTACACAATTTTTGTTTCTTTTATTTCCCATATCGCATGTACAAACACATCAGACTTGTTTTTTTTTTTTTTTTTTTTTTTTGTGTCACGTGACCAATGGCGATAGCACAGTTCTTAGCGGATCTTTTAGGAAATACGTTGTTCCCGATAACGATCAAAGCACCGATGTGGCGCGCCGCGTGCTATTGTTGTGCCGTTTGCTCATTGACAATGATCGTTCTCGGGGATCTTTGCTATTAGTGTGTCATCGATCGGTGTGAAAAAGGCCGTGACAAGGTGTTGCCTCTTCCAGAGAGCGAACGCCGAAATATACAGCAAATTTCGTTACAGGCGCAACACGAGTCGTTTTTAACACAGAGTCTGACATTATTATCGGGGTTTTATTAGAGTTTATAAATATCGTGTTGCTCTCTTAACCGCCTGGAATTATCGATGTAACAACAATCTTTTCGTGCTTGAGTATATTGACATTTTATCCGCACTTCCTAGAGCGCTAGGGGGACCGACGACTTGATAGCGTCAACGGTCACGTCGCGTAAACACGTGATGACGAAATTCGATCGAGGACGGTTTCTCAAAAATACTCGCAAATTTACCATTTTCATGTTTATGTTTTTTGCATTGCTTGTTGACAGCTTTCGTAAATAAATTGTTTCAAAGCAATTCGCAGCGGTAATGGAAAATTTACATGGTACATTATGCGTGTTTTACGAGCGTATATATATACACACACACACACACCAAGTAACGCGACATATGTTTATCTAATTAATGTACTTTTTAGCGTCCGAGGCATCGCTACCATTCCTCATTAGCGACAGATCGTGCGAAGAAGCGAGTTGCGCGCGCGTCGTCAACCGCGTTATGTAAATGAACCACATCGCGCGCGCGCGCCTTCTATGAGAGAAGCGCGTGCACGCGGGCAGTTGAACGTCGCCGCCATTACGGCGCGGCATGCGCCGGCATATACCTTTAATGTATATACAACGCGCTCCTGTTCTCACCCCGGAAGGGACCAGCGTCGCGACGTCCGCGTCGTTAATCGCGCGCGGACGCATGTATGCCGCGTACTTGTAATATCCCGCGCGTGAATCCATCGCGTGACGCGTCGCTAATCACCATGCGCCGCCATCTTGGACGAGTCCATTCTTCGCCGGCTGATTCCGGCCCGCCGTCTGTCTGTCCGTCCGTCCGTTCGTTCGTCGTCGTCGTCGTCGTGCCGCGCCGAACGGCACGCGCACGCACGCTCTGTGCGCGAGACCGCAAACGGATTTTTTCCGAGGCGACGTAACATCGCATCGTCGAGTCGAGCCGAACCGAGCTACCTGCCCAGCCGATGTCAGCCGGCATCGCCCGACTTTCTCAGGTGCATCGCCACGTTATGCCTATGCGTGCGTGGGCGTTTGCAGAGCCGTATCTAGGGTGTGGCGTCAGAAAGTAGCTCCCGCAACGCTTACCGCACAATTTTAGAAACAAATTTCTGAACCGCCGAACGTCTACCCCACAGAAAATTTTTTTCCCGTATTTTTTTTTTATTACGAAACAGAAGGTCTTTCTGTGTAATTTAATTTTATCGTCATTATGTTGTTAATCTTTAACATAGATTTTTTGTTACGGTTTCTAATGTGTTTAATTGTTATATACGCGTTGCGCGAGAGTCGAAGTGTAGGTTTTCTACATCACGGCTCTGAAACTTTGATTACTCTCTGTTGACCATCCGTGGTGCTTTGCAGTGCATTTTGGATGCAACAGTGCCGTACCGGTTAAGAAGTCGTGTTGTGATACTTGAATTCTTAAGAATTATATTCCCGCGTTTCTCAACTCATCACATGTTTATCTTCATTAATTGACCAATTCGATGATTTTTTCTTATTTTCAGATTCAAGGTCACAATTTTTCTCAAAATGCGACATTTTTAATTTTTTTTTTCTCGCGCGTTTGATGATTTTATATTCGAAATCACTAGAAATTCATATATGCATGTAAATTTATTATATGTATATATACATAAATTTTTGTTTGACAAACATATAATTCCTTAATATAAAATGTAATAGGAAAGAAATCCACAATATATTGATGTTGCGGTTGTTTACACTCCTAAAAAAATATATATATATATATAATTTAATTGAATCATAACAGATATAATTCTTGCCAGAGATTATATAGAGATTTACACGCGATTATCACTGATAAACACACGAAGTGTAACGTGCAACATATCAGCCTTTATCCGCCTTTTATCCTTTTCATTAAATAACGGTGCTAAAAATAACGAGATACCGGAGCAGCAATATTATCTCAATTCAATTAGCAGAAAATCCCTCGATCTTACCTCGGACATTGTTAAGGAAAACACCGCATACGTATCGAAGCATCGATATTTCTTGCTTCGGAGGTTTCGATGATAGTAGCAGCTAGTATCCCTACTCTTGTTACTTGGCGTCGCGTGCCGCAGTCCGTGCTTGTCGCTCGCCGGCTTTTCCGACGTCGCTAAACAAGACGCGGCATGCACTTCGCTTACCGTCATGTGCCTACCCTCTCCTCCTCTTTCACCTCACCCTCGCACGCTCGCTCCCGCCCCCGCCACCGGCTCTGTCTCCTTTCCGGCTCTGTGTTCTCGCCCTCTTGCCTTTCTCTTTCTCCGATCAATAAAATAGCCCATCTCCTGCGAAAGCTTATCGCCTGTTTGAATTTTAGCGGAGGACGCCAGAGCCGACTTTTTCGACCGCCAACGCCTGTTGTCGCTATTCGTCCGCTCGTCTTCTTTTTTTTTTTCCGGGCGAAACCGCGCGATATGCGCACGTTTCGGCGGCACTCGACTCGAGAATGATTTCAATCGATCGGCGCTCGCCTTGTAAACGCGAACGCCTCGCAGTCTCAAAAAATAACGCGGATTTCTTAAAATATAATATAATTACTTTATTAGTGACTAACTATTAATTTTTTTTTTTTTAACTTAACTTTTTAATTAAATTAAACTAACTTGGTCAGTTTTTAACGCGTCTTAAAAGAAAGGCATTTCAGATATTTGTTGTAAACAATTACTCGCTATGATGTAAGTTTGTACACAAACTGATGTTCATGCAAATATATTGCACTGAGATCTGTTTCTTGTATTTAAATTAGATCAATTGACTTTTTCTCGATTATTGTTGTTTCTCGCAAATAACTTACGCATAAATTTTATTTTGTTACAGATCAAAGAACTTGTTCTGGATAACTGTCGAAGTACGCAAATCGTAGGCTTGTCAAATGAATTTAGTGCTCTGGAGTCACTAAGTCTCATTAACGTGGGTCTTACCAGTTTAAAAGGCTTTCCCCAGTTACCGAGTCTCAAAAAGGTATGTACATTTTATTTTAACAAAATGTTGCATTACTGATTTTCTTAAACATAAATGTGAGTTTTATGTATAATTATTTTTGTGCGCGCATGCAGCTGGAATTGAGTGACAATCGGATTTCGGGTGGTTTAAATTTGCTGGATTCCAGTCCGAAATTAACTCATCTCAACTTGAGTGGAAATAGGATTAAAGATCTCGATACGTTACAGCCGCTGGTGAGTTCTCACGTTTGTTTTTGTTCTTTTGTTTTTACATGTGGTCATCAAAACACCTTGTTGCTAAAATAGCTGATACTGAATTGCTTTCTTTGTATTCTAGAAAGCCTTTAAGAATCTGAGGAGTTTGGATCTCTTCAACAATGAGGTAACCAATATGGATAATTACAGAGAGAAAGTCTTCAATCTTATTCCTAGCCTGCGATATCTTGACGGGTATGGAATTTACATGTGAATTTATTTGCCGTGTTTTTTTTTTTTTTTTTTTTTCTGAGAGAGAATGAATGCGTGCATTTTAAAACATTTTTCATGTTTGATTCTCAGATATGACATTGACGATTGTGAGGTTGATGAAAGCGAAGGAGAAGAAGATGAAGTCAATGGAAACGAAGACGGAGATGGTGGCAATGAGGAAGACAGTGAAGATGGTTTGTTGAAAGCTTGATATTACTTTGTAGTCGTAAATAAATATTTTTGATAAAAACTCATTGCGAATGATGTGCGTCGTTAAATATAGTTTCAGATGAGGAAGACGATGAATTCTTAGATGACGATCCGGGACTGGATGCTGTTTACAAGGAAAATATCGAAGTGAGTTTATTTTGTTTCTTATATCGAGAATGATTCAAATTGCTAAACCGCAAGTCACGAAGCTCAATAAAATGTAAAATTTATTAAGACTTTTCGCTCGCTAAATATTAATTCGATTCGTAACGCAAAAAAATGTAAAAGTGCAGTAAATTATAAATTATAGATTATAGTGTACAATGACCTACTTATTGAGTAGAACTAAAAATAAATATTATCGATATAGGACAGTGACGATGGAGACTACTTGGGAGAGGAGGAAGAAGAAGATGAGGACGAAGAAAACGATGAGGATGACGAGCAGGAAGAAGAGGAAGGTACATAACACTAAAGAATTCCTAATTTTCTTTCTTTTATAAGTTTAAAATTGCCATAGCAAGTAATAAATAACGATTTTTTTCTTTTTCTTTTTTTTTTTGTTTTTTGTTTTTTTTTTTTTTTGGTACAATAATACGAATTATCTTTTGTGCAGAGGAGTCTCCCGTTCGAGGAAAGAAGAGAAAAATTGATGACGGAGGAGAAAATCAACACGATTAAGATGGAGAATAACTGTCTCCAGTACTGTTGTATGAATGTAAAATCCGTATAAATAATAACAATAATTGCCGACGCCGAGTGAACAGCTGGGAATCAAACTAATCGACCGACCAATGACAGACTACAGTTAGTGATGTGACTTTATCAGTAAAAATCATTGATCGCGGAAAAAATCGAGTAACACAGAAAAAAAGATTTACCATTTATGGTAGAAGAGATGCGAAATGGGAAAAATATGAGAGAGAAGAAAAACATATAATGACATATAAATAGGGCTGCATTCCAGCTGGACACAGCACACAGTTTTAGTTATACTAACGATATTTTATATATAGAGTATATAGTTAGAGAGTATTAGCGGCGTTGCACGGAGTGGTCGATCGGATATTAAATAATTCGAAGAGTGTGAGAAGGAGAAAAAGAGAGAGAGAGAGAGAGAGAGAGAGTGTGTGTGTGTGTGTGTGTGTGTGTGAGAGAGAGAGAGAGAGAGAGAGAGAGAGAGAGAGAGGTGAGAGTGAGTGAGTGAGTGAGTGAGTGAGCGAGCAAAAGCACGAGAGAAAGAGAGCGTGAGCGATAGTGAAAGGGGCAAGAGAATTGTACGTATGTGGTGCGCGTGCGAATAAGACAGAAATAACAGAAGGTAAATGGAGTTTTACACATGATGGAGCATCTTGTCTGTTAGCTCCAGTCGGCCAAAGGCTGGTCACGCTGGAATGCGGTCATCGTTAATCAGTACTAAGGTTACATAAGTTACATTTTAAATACATTATTATTGTATCGTGAAAATAAGTATAGAGCAAATGAGGAACAACTTTTGTACAGGTTTACACCGACATACATCGAGGTGCATTATAATATGCCTCTGTGATTTTTGGGACAGAAAATAAAGAGTGAAAAAAAATTACATGTTGCTCGTATACGGAAATAGCGTGTATATCCGACGATATAATAGGAGACGAGGGGATGCGGAAAAGAGAAAGAGAGAAATATGAAGTATACTAAAAAAGTATTGGAGAATATGTCGTCGATGAGAGTGAGAGCGACCACTTTTTTTGCATAAATATTTCTTCTATGCCACGGAGAAAATGATCCGATATCAACGGGAGAACGAGTGATCGGGGCTAGTGGAAAATATCATAATATTTATTAACTGTTTTCAATCGCGTGATTCCGATATAGCAAAGCAGGAAGAAAATAGAGAGAGAGAGGAGGGAAGAGAAATAGGATCGTTTACAACATATATGAAATTTTTTAATACACCTCGATCGACGTGTCGTCAAGCGTTTAAAACATGCGGACATGTTATCCTATAACTTAGACTTTTTTCTAGTAAGCTTTAAGTTCCAGATATTTCTACATATACATATAACGGCGATTGGCCGCGCTCTCGGCTCATGGCTGTTAGAATTATTGTTATTTACAATCCCGGGCATTGCGTAAAATGTTATGCTCTAATGTAACGTAAAAAAAACAATTTTTGATTATTACTATCTGATATTTTTCTATTTTTGAAAAAATAATTGTACAGTTACATAAAATGACTTTTTTCTTTTTTTTCATTTTTTTATATGTATATATATATACGTTTATACATGTACGTGTGTATGTATATATATATATATATTTATATATATATATATATAGGGCATCACCAGAACTATCGTATTTTCTTATATATTATAATTATACATATATATATATGTGTATGTGTGAGAGACAAAACTTTTGTGTGTGTGTGTGTGTGTGTGAAATCAATAAATATCAAGAAACTCTTTTGTTTTGTTTATTTTAAGCATGATATTTTTTACTACAGATGTAATATTTATTTACATCAAAAAATTTATATATTTTGTATTGAAAATTGAGAATTTGTGACAAAAAATAAGGTTTTTTTTTTTTTAATCAAGTTTTGTACTTTTTAACGTAAAATGCAGGAGACGTGTGAAACACCTCAAGGAGATACGATAATTCTAGGACATCCTGTGTATGCCAAAGTATATATAATTATGTTGATAATGTTGATTGATCGACTTCTGCAAATCGTCACAATAGCAACAGGCCTCAGTCTTTGGAGCGAATTACTAAGAAAATAAAAGTCAACATCGTGTGAATCAAGCGATTTTTGCAACCTTTACTTTCTGTCTCCGAAGTTACCATTGCGCTGACATATATTTCGTGATGAGTAATGAAGTGCAAGAAGATATAATGATGATGATAATACGTGGAAATTAATATTATGATTAAATATTATATATAAATTAGTATGATTTTTAAGAGAAGAAAAGAAACAAAACGTTTACATTTGCGCTTTCGCACTTTTGAATTGTACACTGAAGTCAGAAACGCAAAAATAAATTAGACTTAGGACGCGAGGACAGATAATAATGTGAAAACAAAGATATACATTTAACGAAACAGGCGCGAGATGATGGAAACAAAAAAAGGAGAAAGAGACGGTTCGCAAGATGGATCAAACGATGTAGTTAATAGGTGAGACAGCGACGAAAAATTACACCGCGGACAGAGACAAACCAATTAACTACGTAATCGTGCGAGAATGGATGTGTGATATGATTGCGCGAGGGTGTATGTGTGCGAGAGAGAGAGAGAGAGCGAGGAAGAGAGAGGATTGATTTTATAAAAAAAAAAAAAAGAAAAACAGAATTAAAAAAAATTACGGTAGAGTCGAGGACCTGGCGCCTCCTTGTCGCCAGTTTGGTTATGGCCTTATCCAATTTTTCCAAGACTAAAAAAGCAAATTTATAATAGGTACAATGAATAATATGTGGACATGTACACACACACAACATACAGGTCCAAATATGTAAATTTCTGATCTGCAATTTGTAATTGCGGCTCGCGCGGAAGCGTATTATATATATATGTGTATATATATATATATATATGTATATATATATGTATATGCATATGTATATATATATATATATATAGAGTTACATTATATAGATAATTAAGAATTTAAATTATAAATAAAATAATTAAAACAAAAAAACATTCCGCGCGCCCCGCGACACATGCGTGTAATACACTTTTGTCAATTGCGATTTTGGATAGACCATTTAAGTAAGGGGAAAAAAATTGTCTATTTACCCTCTATTATAAGATATATTACACATGTGTATTGTCTGTCTGTTCCGTTGTTAAAGTGAAGTTTTATCATAAAGTTTGTTTATTTCGAGCAATCCTCATTACACAAAAATAAGAAAAGATAATTTATTAATAAAACCATTTACAAATCAACGAGTGTGTCCATCCGATCCGATGTACGACCGTGATTGATTCCATCTTTCTTTTGAGCGAGTTTTAGCTCTAAACTGATTAAATATATCAAATGTATTCTTTTGCACGTTTTGTTGTTTAACAGGTTGAATGTATTTTATTTTTCAAGCAAATTTTTGCAATTAAAAAAACTGCAACCGAGCACGTACTTACGTTTTGGAGTCACGGAGATATATATATATTTTTTTTTTCGCGACAAGTGGCGCGACGATCGGCGCGCATCCATCATGGCCACCAGTGGCGCACGGAATTCGCGCGCCGTTGCGCACTCTGTAAACTCAGTGTATCTCCGCGCTTCGGTCGGATAGGTTCTATTTTGTGCGAGTCGGTGCTTCATTTCTCTCTGCGCAAAGCCATAAGCCGTTCGCCGTCAAATTAAGAGAGTTTAAAGTGCTTCGCTTTTTTTCCTCAGGACTGGCACTTCGCAACCGACGCTCCGTTTTCATCATGGCAGAGAGCAAAGGCGCGTTAATCGCGAAAACAGTACAAAAACATGCTGGAAGGGCGAAAGAGAAGGTACTCGCTATATTCCTCTCTCTCTCTTTCTCTCTGTTTCTCTCTCTCTTTCTCTTCTAACAGGTCGTCTCTCTCGTTCGTCGCGTTCTCGACTGTTCATAAAAATCTCTCAAAACCCCCGTTTTGGAAATGATTCCGTTCAAAATTGTTGTCACGAGATGGAAATTGACATGAGAGAAGACTGATAAGACGCGCGTGCGGAACGCGAGAGATGACCATAACCTCTGACGCCGTGTCGACGAGACGTCGCGCGATACTCGCCAACGTCAAAGTTGACGTTTCGCGTCATTGGAGCGCGGCAATTACATCGCGCCTCGGCAATCTAATTCCGTGTCGCTTGTCTTTAAGTTGAATTACTCGTGTTACACATCTCTGAGCGGAGAGAAAAAATCTAAGTAGTTATGATTTTTACACCAATGTGTGTGCAAGATACTAGAAAAAAAGACGGAAAAGAGCAAACGTCAGTTACTTTAAAAGTCAGATCGTTTGACGCAAACGTGAAAATACGAGATTTGCGAGATTTTTTAATTTCACACATGTGTTTGCTTTTACATATTTTACATAAGCGTTTTTATTTGCATGTAACATTGCAAAAGTATTGATACAAAACGTTTGAAAAACTGAAGTGAATGAACGGGAGTTGTGATCGACGAGATTGACGTGTATTGTGACAACTTATCGGACAAAATGGCTAGTGAAAAACAATACCTCAAATAATGTATTCATTCCCTCTGCATTTCTGTCCCCCCCCCCCCCCCCATACCAATTGATATATCGGCGGAATTGTAGAAAATTTTCAGTTTTCCAATATACGCGAAGGTCACGTTTTGCGCCGCCGATGGCGCTTCGCCGCGATTTTACGTAATCGGTAAACACGTTCGCGGTATTCGTACAAAATGACAATTATGCAACTCCCACGAGTTCGCTCGAATATAGAAAAAACTGCATCGCGCGTGAACCCAACTGCGTGTCGTTACCTACTTTGTTTATCGACAACAATCGCTCGTGACGTCTCTCGTTGTAGAGATACATATAATGTACACACATGATACACACGTCGCGCACACACTTTACCCACGAGATTGTTTTTTCAAGATTAACTCTTGTAGACTTATAAAAAACATATAAAAACTGTAGACTGGGTCTGTGAGACTTAAGGTCACTTTAAGATCGAAGAATATCTTCATGAAAAATCAATATTTGTTTAATTTATTTTTTCCGAATCGAAAGTTTGAACGATTCTGCGTCGATAAAAAAAAAACAGATTGAAAAAATCTCCGGTAGTTTCGACGATATAAGCGTTTAAAAAAACTTATTTTTTCTAGAAACGTCGATGCGCAAGTTTTGAGTGAGTCTGAAAGACTCGGTCCACGGACGAAGGGTTAACTTGTACAAAATTATATCATCGCGGTAAAACTTCTCGTTGGTAGAAATTAGACTTTAAATATGGCAGAGAGTTTTGTTTATCCTCAATGTGTGTTCAAAAAGTGTGCGGTAACAAAAATATTCCGTCAGTGAAAACAACTGATAGAAAAAGTAAACTAAAAACTCAAATGAGATAAAATGTAAATTACAATATTAAACGGAAAATAATACATTTTTTGTCATTTACTTAGGTTATTCACTTAGGTTTATGGGTTTCTAATCTTCAACATATCTATCGAGACCTCACATTCGTAAAGCAATCGTCAGTTTTCTTGACTCGTATCCTCTCGTGACCGACACAAAATTTTGTTTGTTGACAATCTTTGAATCTGAAACGCAACAACAATCTTTTATTTAGAAAAGCGATGTATCTCGTGAATGGATCGGTTAGATGTTATTTTATGAAAATGACCAACACTTTTTTCTCACGCAGAGAATGACATCGGTTGTTCTCGATTTGAAGCGGAACTGATATATAACAGCAATTAAACGAACAGAATGTTACATTAGACCGATTGACGAGCGATTACGCGGCAGTGATTAAATTTAAATGCGCGCATATTTGCGGAACGCGTTCTCCACAAGTCACTCGACAAAGAATATTGTTTGTATTTCACTTCTGATTTTAGCAGCTTCTCTATTTTTTTCTGATACAAACATTTAATTTCGCGGAGTTTTCCGTGAATTCCGCTAGATCCTGGGAACCCGGGCTCTGACGCAAATTTGCTTACGAGAAGGGAAAAGGCTTCTCGAGGTGTGCGTTATATAGATTGCACTTCGCGATGGCGCACGTCGACGTATCGCGCGCATCACTTCCGCGCGCTTTACCGGCATCCAGCGAACGTATATTTGCGCGAGGATCCCTCGGCTCGTTGATGCATCGCATAAGCATTGCATAAGCGATCGGTCGTGTCACGCAATTCACGTGCGCATACTCCATCGCATCTCGGCGGAGTTCTCGGTATGTGTATAATAATTGCGTTATAGGCGACTTTTGTCTCATGTCTTAACAAAAAACAATGCAAACTCTCGATGGATAAAAGCGTATATTAAAATCGCTGATAAAAACGTGTTCTCGAGATTGTTTAAACGAAGAAGGACGCTTGCGTTGTAACTGCAGAAGCAATATTATATATATATATATAAATATATATTATTGATTGTTGCGAAAAATTGTAATTTTTTTTTTTTATGTTACTATGCCGTTGACTGCATTTGATTAATTGCATTCTATCGGCGTAACTTTCTCACGGAAACGCACGTAAACAGCGGAGTTGGAAACACTCGTATAGGAATTACGTCGCACCGCCAGAAGGGGCGAAAGGATTAAGCCGAGTGGAATTTTTACGCAGAATCATTACTCGCATATACATACATATCGCGAAGTAGGAAGAGGTAACATTATAGATCGGATCGCCTTTTTTTGCCGACTTACACTTGCGTTGAAAAGGTTCAGCCGGTACTCGAGGCGAAGAAAGTTGGTGCATGGGCCGGCGGTGCGGACCATTAAGCAGTCTTTGATCGGTGACTACTGTCAGCAACTTGTCGACCAATGTACTTGCTCGTATTTAAAACTTAAAACCAGCTGTCTCATTCAGTATTTCTATTGTCGCGTGGAAATAGTTTTGACACGAGTCGAGATCCGAAACCGCATTCGAGCCCTGAAACGCCCGGCGAGAATTAGAGACCTGTCTCTTACCGCAGAAGTGCGAATTGCGAATTGCGGTCTCGCGGATCTCGTATTAAGACTTACATTCGCGTAAAACCGCAACGACGCCGAGAGAGAAAATTCGTTCCGCTCCGGAAATGTCTTTGAGTTTTGTTCAAAGCGCCAGAACGACGCTTCAATTATAATCTAAACGAGAAATAAACAGACAAACGGTCTTGTCAGAAAATCCCCCGATTGTTTTCCTTTACCGATTGGCTTCCACTTGCGTGCGTTCTAACGCAGAGAGTGCTGCTCTTATAAGGCCAGTAATATTTGTTCGCCGCGGAAGTTTCCTCCTAAGTTCGCTCGTCATACTCCGTCGTCGTTCTCTCTCCTAGATGCTAGATTTCTAAGTGTGTCCCACCTAAGCGCGACCGGTTACTATTCTCGTCTCCGGAGACACACGTTCCCGGACACACCGCGACCGCACGGCAAATATATCTGCGAGCTCGCGGCTTTTCGGAGAGACACCGTCGTTTTTGAATTTCCGCGCAGGAGGTTTTCGTCGCAGCGATTCTCAAACCCGTGAGCGATTTTTCGCCCCGACGAACGCATGTCTGTTTGTTTTCGAGTAATCGCAACTCCTCCTCCCGCGTGCGTGGTATAATAAATTATTTTATCTGGCGCCGATGCGCTCTTATCGTATGGGTATCAGAATGCAACCTGCGCTTACAATTAGATTAAGAGCCGGTCACGCGAACGCGCGGTTGCATTTTGCTGCGCCAGACTGATTAATGATATGCACACCGAGAAAAATAGTCTGCGTTATTTGAGAAGTAATTGCAATGAAATATATTCCCGGCGTTTTCTTCGTATAACAACATTTTACTTTTTCGCTTTAGTCTTTAAAATAAATAAATAACAGTAAACACCAGTATCTCGAGATGTGTTATTTAAAGGAGACTTTGTACTCTTCTAATTGAAAGCAATGTTAAATTCAAGAGAGGTTCTCGACCTTGCGAACCGTAGAGTTTTCGTCTCCGGAATAACACACTCACAACTTTTCTAACTTTATATTATCGAACGCACGATCAGCAACTTAAAGATTACGTCCACATATACAAATTGCTACTTGAAATTCGTATAAAACTTGAATAGTTCATACAAAAAAAATATTTTTATTACCAAGAAAAATAATTACTTGTTGTTAGGTTTTTCTTTCTTTTAAATAAAGTTAACTTTTTTTTCAAAAAATATTTTCTTGATAATATAATTCAGTATAATTTTTTTTCAATCACGCGATCTCGGGAGAAGCAAAATATAATTTTAAAGCAAGAACTTTTTTTTATTTTAAGTAAATCCACTTGTCTGTTCGCAACATTGCTATCTCGAAACAAATAATGTTAGGTAGGTGTCAAAAGAAAAGATTTTTTTTTTTTAATGAGATCTTTGTTACAATGTAGAGTTTTTTTCCATCAACTCTATATAATAAGAAACCAAATTTTTCTTCTAAGTTAATATACGTGAAGTTTATTATTAGGATTTAGAATATATTTTGTTTAACAAACACCTCTTGTAATCTCATTCACGGATGTGCAAACTTCTTATATACATGATACAAGTGATATTTACTTAAACGTGGTATACATTTTTCCAGAAGAAAAAATTCGTCGATTTTTTATGCGCGAATTTTTCCCTCCACGCTAATTTATACGCGCATAATCCGACGCTAGTTTTTTCCTTGCGTTACGCAAGTTGTGCTCGAATGTAAGCGCGCTCTTGTATCGGAACAACGTTTCGTGCAACAACTCGTGCTATCTCGCAGCTCGAAAAACGCGCGAGGTCGAGTTCGTATCTTTTAATTGCTCTGACGTTAATTACCGACGTCTCCGTTATTTTCTCTTTGGAGAACACTTTGGAGATAGTC